CCCCCCCCCCCCCCCCCCCACATACCACATCCTCACCATTAAATGCAATGCCAATATACTTTCATAACTCAGAGCAAGTATTGCTGGCAAGGAAATTTCTGACAACTAATGGTGTCATCACCAAAGCTAACACTTCGAGCTCCAGCCCACAGCAAATTTCGAGAAATTTAGTGTTAGGTGTTGTACTTTGAAATTTAGCTGGAACAAGGTTCCCCTACAGTATAAGAGCCAAAAAAAAATAACTGATTTATATCATCCATAGTTCTTTAGGTAATGAGTATCTCGAATCTCCTTGATAATAAGGCCAATCATTAGAGTAATAGAATGTAATGTGTGTGTGGAGTATTCTTCCAAGCCTCCGAGCCACAACGGCATGTTCCTGGAACATAACAAATAAAACAACCGAAAAGAATATAAATGTGAACATAGCACGCCAAATTCAATCAAATCACTGAACCATATCCACTGCAAGGCAATATAATCCAAATACATAAAATGAATATTCAGTGAATTCAAATCTCCTATATACTTTCTTTCAGCAATTGATCAAACACTAGAAAGTAAAGGCCAAATCACCACCCAGATAAACATTTAAAAAATTTTGAGAATACACATTTTTAACTTAACAACAGACAATTCAGCGATTAAAAATAATGACTCTCTGACTGTGGTAAAAATTATAAGCTATAATACATTGTTCAATGTTGAATAGCCTCTCCATCTCTTGAAAGTCTAAGAATATCTATAGAAGGCACAAGCTATAATTGCCCCTGACAAATTGACATCAACAAACCTCTCTAAGATCTGTTCCTGAAACCAAATTGTAAGATGCAAGTACATATCAATATCATGATATATAATATCTATACAGAATCAGCAATAGTAAAAGAAAAGGCAAAAGGACTAAAAACTATAGGTATCTTCGGGTCAAAATACTAGAATTGGTTTGCTGGCGATGGGGAAAAGTGGGGAAATGGTCAGGCTGTTGCATGATGTGGTGCAAAGCAGTGTGCATGTGAGGAGACTCAAGTTCTTTTCTCATTATTGTACCATTCTACATTATTCCAATCATACTGCCTCCCAAATCGATTAAAATGGAAATCTAGTTAGATGAATTTTTAAGGTTTCAGAAATATATCTTGCCATTTTTTGACCTTTTCATGATCCTATTACTTGATCTATTTGAGTTCTAGTTAAGCTTTTTTCTTTTCCATGGTTGCAGAAATTGATTCAATAATCCAACCACAGGATATGAGATCATTCAGGAACTAATTAATTTGAGAAAGAAATAATTTGAAAATGCATTAATTCGTGAAAATATTAAACTTATCAATAATCAGAAGACGAGCATATGTATATGGAGATTGAAGATGAATACAATTTACCCAAAGATAGTTATCTATTAGTCCACATGGAAAATAGCACATTTAAACCAATGATTAGTAAACAAAAATAAGTAGATTTAGAAAAACAAAAAAGGGGACATTAACAAAGTTATGAGCACTTTAAATCATGCATTTCACATGATGTTTTTCTTAAAGCATAACCCCGTTGTTGTAGTAGGTGTTAGTCTAATAAAATCAAATCCAGAATGGGAACAGGAGGAACAAGCTCAAGGGGAGGTTACTGCCTCCATTTTGCCAGTTGAAAGTTACTACCAAGATACATAGTATTGAAGATTATAGACTCTATTCACCTTATTAGTAAGAAAACCTTCGAGGTTACTGCCTCCATTTTCCCAGCTGAAAGTTACTACAGCAATACATAGTAAGCAAACCTTGTCAGCACACAATAACTCTACCTGTGGAAATTTAACAGAATGACCTTTAAATCCGAAAGTGTAATCAAGAGCTACATTTAAAAAATTTATTGCTGGAAAATATAGGCCTTGTACAAAAGTATAGCGTGTGTGATGGTACAATAAGAGTACTCAAAAACCCTAGTGTCCCACCTATTGTTGTGAGGCAAGTGAAAGTGCTAGCTCTTGCTGCCAAATTTATAAATTAAAGAAAGTTTCTGTACAAGTTTGGTAACTCACTGCTCAAGGGCTTGTGCAGTATTGCTTTGCTTTGCAGCTCCAGTTTCAGCTATTGACATAAAAGATCAATAAAAAAGAACATGTTTCAGATAAACAGAAATGAAAACTCATTGACAGTTAAACATGATTGAAAGGAAGAGGAAACAAAATCGAGTACGTGTGAAAGCAACTAAGAAAATGAAAGAAGTCAAAGTCACTAGGTTTACAAGTTTCTACTTAAAGTAGTCGTGCATCAAAACTACCAGTCAAGGTTGATATTCATCTTGATGAGTTCCCAAGTCAGTAGAATCAATATTGAACTCTCCACCTGCCCACCTCATCCACCAAAATAAACAAATAAAACACATGGGCACAAAAGCAGAGAGGGAAGGTGGAGGTGTAGGTGGAGGGAGAGCGAGAGGTACTTAGGTGAAGCTCGAAAATAGAACTCCATCGTCAAGCCTGGTGCTCTAGGTCTGTGTATAAAGCCCAAGAATGACACATTCATCACATAACGTTACGAGTTAGAGCAATTACCCCATGAAACACATTCATTCACAAAATCCACATTGGAACTAATGCCATGAACAAGTGTTTTTGACCCTCCCTTTGCATCTACCAGATTCAGAGGAATAATGACATACAATCAGATTTGGATCTGATAATTGAAAAATATTATCTGTTTTCGGAGTCAAAGTTCAAGGAAATACTAGAGCAAATAGCTTTAACAAAATAAAAAAGGGAAAAGAAATTAGTTTAGCCAAAAGAGGATACTGAGAAGCTATGATGCTCAGACTTGGATATGGGTATCGGGTACGAGTACATATTTAAGTATCAGATCTTTTATTTTCTAAAATATAGAATTCAGAGATATAACCAAAAAGAATCCAAATTTGAAACACGGGTACGTGGGTAAGTCTTTTAAAATTCAAAAATTTTTACTAACCCAAGATATCATTTTAAATAGACCAAAATCAATTGTTCACAAAGAAGGAAATGAGTATTGAATAAGGGGTTAAAACAAATATATAAAATTTTGGAGTTTACTTTTTAATTATGGGAAGTTAATTACTAATGTTATATAAAATAGAAAATGAAGGACTTGATTGTAATTTGAACTTAATGGAACACTAAATAGTACTATATGAAACTCATTTTCGTTTTATACAAAGAAAACCCTAAACCATAGATATAAAAAGGGAAAGAAGGAAAAAAGAATAAAAGAAAAAGAAAGAAGGGAAACCCTAGCACTGCCGCCTTCCTCAACCCTTTTGACGATGGAACAAGGTTTACAGAGAGTAGAAACGAGAAAGAACAAAAAGGAAAGAACAAAAAAAGAAAGAAGAAAAAGACAAAAGCAAAAAGAGCAAGGTGTCCAATTGAAACTTGGCTAACACATTCTATGCTCATATCGTGTCGACGCGGATACTTCATCCATTTCGAAGAGTCCGAGCATCAGAGCTATCTAGTGGTTAATCTCATGATGTCATCACCTAGAGGGAAGCCAAAGGCAGAAAAACATGTAATTGTCACTAAATGAGACATAAATAATAGTCTCCTACGTATCTTTGCATCACGTAGGAAGACTTAGCTATACTGCTAAGAGTAATCCCAAATATCAATGATCCAAATCTCTAGTCTAGAAAGTCCGAGCATCAGAGCTATCTAGTGGTTAATCTCATGATGTCATCACCTAGAGGGAAGCCAAAGGCAGAAAAACATGTAATTGATCACTAAATGAGACATAAATAATAGTCTCCTACGTATCTTTGCATCACGTAGGAAGACTTAGCTATACTGCTAAGAGTAATCCCAAATATCAATGATCCAAATCTCTAGTCTAGACCTTGGGAGCTTAAGAAATAATTAGGCCCAAATCCCCAAGTGCTCCACAACAAAGCTGATATTATTCCTTTTTAGAGCTTAAACTTTATTTTCAAGAATTAGTTCTCCAGATCACAAGTTTTATACATTCAGTTTAGGTATATATTTTCAAGAATGAATCTTAATAATATATATATATTTTTTATAGGTAATCAAATATTTTATTAATCATGGTAATACACAGGAAGTGTATTATCAATTAATACAAGATAGAAACGACATAAAATTGGGCAACCCGTCTACGCGAATAAT